CTGATCCCGTTCTCCCCGTTTATTCTTCTTTCCATTCTGTGTACCATGGAAAGTCTAAAGCTAAGCTTTCCAGTCTCTCTGGACCCCAAACCTGTGGTAAGAAGCCAGGAGCTGGAACTACAGCACTTTCATGTCCTCCCTTGGAATCTGAGGCAATTGAGCTTCAAACCGGAAACTCGAGAAGAAAGGAGATCCTAAATGTAAAAATTTCCTTCTCCTTGACTTTATTTGTGAAACTAAACCAGGATTGAATGTCACGTCAAAGCTAGAAAGGACCTTGGAAATCACTTAAGTTTAGTCTGTTTTTTACAAATGAAGAAACTGAGCCCCTTGAGAAGGACAGTGATTTGCACAAGGTTACCACAGTTATTAAGCAGTAGAACTGAGTGTTAACCCAGATCTTTTGGCTATAAAGCCAGTGTTCTTTCTAGATTTGTAAAAATTAATTTTTAACTTTTTCCATTATAAACTAGGAAATCACCAACAAACGTGAACATTCCACGAGCAAAGGTGTCCAGAAAATGGTAATTGTATATGAGGCAGTGAATCTATAATAGCTTATACACACACACACACACACACACACACACCTAGACATATACATAAAATTTAATATGATAGTACCAACATTATCCTGTTCCCTTGTAAAAAATGTTTTTAAAAGATGTTTTGTAAATGCCCTTTACATTCTTTTTACTGTTTTTTAATCTTAGTGCCACTTTTTTTTTGGAATGGAGGAATTACTTTTAAAAAAGGATGGGGGGGTTGGAAATGTTAGGTGATTTATATTCTAGATGGTAGAGTTACTAGAGGGAAGTATCCTTTGATTTGAAATATGTTGAACCTCAGTTTCTTCATCTGTAAAATGACAGTCTATACTAGATGATTTTCCAAGTTGATTTCCAGTTCTAAAACCATTCTTAGTTAAATTATATCATATGGGGGAAAAGGACTTAATTTGAAATAGTTGTATTCTCCAAAAGTGACTGTATTGAATTGTTGTGAGGCTCAAATGGTAAAATGTATATGTCACTTTCCTATAAATGTCAGTCAGCTGAGCTGTTATTATTTAGATAGAGGGCAATATTTGTAAGAAAAAAAGGTAAAGGTAATTTCTGTCTATTATTAATTGAATTTGTAGTGCAGTCAATAATCAAAAACAAGGTAGTCTGGAAAGAAGAGAAAGGAGTTCATGAGTTTGTATCAGTAATTTAAATAAATATATTTTAAGTTTAATTAGTAATACTGTTACTAACCTCTGTGGCAGTTTAACATTATCACAAGGTAGTACACCAAGTGATGAACTTGGAATCAGGAACTACCTCAGACACTATGTGACCCTGGCAAATCACTTTTACTATCTGAGTCTCAGTTTCCCAATCTGTAAATGGGGGTAATAAGAGCATCTACCTTGTATGGTTGTTGTGAAAATCAAATAAGATACTATATGTAAAGCTCTTTGCAAACTTTAAATATTAGCTATTATTATTTTGATTTAGTACTTTCTAAAGGTAATATTGCTTTATAGACTGGTGTTCAATTTTCATTGATGTTCTATATGAATATTTTCTCCTGAATGGGTGGTTTTGTAATGTTATTCCCGTGGTTAGTTCAAAAGTGCTGATATAATTTAATGGGTAAAAGATTTGGGTTATACTTAAAATTAGGAAATTTTGTGGGGCTGTAATTAAACATTTATAAAAATCTAGTAGTCATTATACTGCTTCCTTTCTCATTTTGCTGGTACTTTTTTTTTTTGCACAGCAGTTGGGGTTAAGTGACTTGCCCAGAGTCGCACAGGTAGTACATGTCAAGTGTCTGAGACCATATTTGAACTCAGATTCTCCTGACTCCAGGGCTGGTGCTCTATCCACTGTGCCACCTAGCTGCCCCTTCTAGTTCTCATTTTGAAATATTTTATTATCCTATTAGGTTTGGGGAAAATTTCCTAATTTTTCCTAACATATTTTCAATCAACTGTATTCATTACAACACATAAAATTACTTGGATAGTTCATGTTAAATTATATCAAAAGAGAAAGGATTTCTAAAAGTTCAGTTAAAATTAAAAGAAATCATTTAAATCTTAACTGAAAGGCAGTTTGAGTGTTGGTCTTATGAATAGAGGCTTCACTAGACACACAGCCAGTTAGTATTTTGCTTGACATTTTTTAAAGGTGTTTGGTTTTTGCAAAGATAATTTACCGGTGGATATGATTGCCTATTTAAGTGTTATTTAACATTTATTAAACATCTGAACTGGATCTACAATGTATGTATTAGACAGACAATGCCTATGAATGAATCAGACCTATATGAAGAATGTCATTCTGTATATTTTGCTTTCTTAGAAATATTATGTAATCTTTTTTTTTTAAACTAACTAGAGCCTGTTTATGTATAGTTTTTTATTTTTTGAGCTAGAAAAATAGCTTTAAATGTCACTGTTTATAAGGGACACCTAATAGCCAAACGAATTACTAATGGGAGTCCTTTGAGACACTTGTTGGTAGCTTAATGAAATAGTGAGATCTGCATACTAAACTTGGAGAGAATCGGATGCTACTGTGTTGCATTACTCACTGCCTGTGTTTTGGGTTTAGAGCTCGACTGGGGAGTCAGGCTGACCAACTGGCTCTGGATAGAGCCTTTTTGTTGAGTTTTACTAGTTTTGCCATCCTACAATATAGAGTAACACAGTTATGTCTGGCTAATATTAGAAATATTGGCAAATCTGAGGAGTTATATAGCTAATGATAAAATGTTGAATGTTTTGCTTAAATTTAAGTAATCAGGTAAGTAGATTTATTTTATTTTTGTGAGCCTGAGGAATCATTCTTTAAAGACCTCAAAATCTGCTTTCATTAATGACTGACTGATTTTGTTCTATAGTAGAGCCCATGTGGCTGACATTACTCTACATTAGCCAGTGGTTCTCAGTCATTTTGCAGCTTGAGCACTCTGTTGTTTGCTCTTGATCTCTGGACATTTAATCTGTTCTCAGAAGCTCTGAATGATAGTTATTCATTTATTTATTGACAATTGGGGTTAAGTGACTTGCCCAGGGTCACACAGCTAGTAAGTGTCAAGTGTTTGGTCTGAGACCGGATTTGAACTCAGGTCCTCCTGACTTCAGGGCTGGTGCTCTCTGTCACTTAAATAATTGGGTTCTCTTAGACAAACTCTTCTTTCCTCAGAACCTCAACTTTTCTCATTTGTAACACTGGGGAATAGGGTTTTTGGGCAAGATTATTTTTCTTTCTTTATTCTGTCTTTAAAGTTCTTCTAGGTGTGGAAGAGCATTCCCTCAGGATTTGGGGTGGAGGTAGGAAACTTAATGGGTCCATCTTTGACCTGACTCATGTTGGTTTTGGTTGTTTTAAGGCAGTCTGTGAATGTAAGTAAGTCACAGGCATAAATTGTGCCCCAAAGTACAGTTGGTTCTATTTGATTTTGGTGCGAAATAAGGATATTCAGCTTGGCCTTTATTTTCCAGTGTCACATTGAGTCAGTCATCTTAATCTGCAGTGTTAGTAAAAAATAATGTTAGGGGCAGTTAGGTAGTACAGTGATAGAGCACCAACCCTGGAGTCAGGAGGACCTGAGTTCAAATATGACCTCAAACAGTTGACACTTAGTGTGACCCTGGGCAAGTCACTTTACCCTGTTTGCCTAAAAAAAAAAAGTAATATTAGAGTTGTATTTTCTAGCTAGGTAACTTTTTTTAAAATAAAATTTTTTTGATGTCTTCTGTTTTTTACATCATCATAATTATCCCCAGTATCTCTTTCCCCCCCAGAGAACCATTTCATATAACAAATAGTGTTTTTCAGCACAACTGATCGATACATTGGAAAACTCATGTGCAATGTATGATACCTTCTGGACCTCCCACCGCCGCAAAGGTGTAGGTTGGGGGTATTCTCTCATTTCTCTTCATTCAAGTTATGTTTGCGCTTTTTAATTTTGTTACATTCACTTTTGATAATTTTGTGTGTGGTAGTTCTTTCTGTTTATATTGTTCTAGTCATTGTGTATTTTATTTTCTTAGTTTTACTTATATCACTCTGCATCAGTTCATGTAGATCTTTCCATGCTTCTTTGTGTCCGTCCCACATATTATTTCTCATAGCACAATAATGTTCCATTGCATTCATGGTACCACAATTTATTTAGCCATTCCCTAGTGGATTAGTGTCTACTTTTTTTTTTCCCTTTCCTTGCTAGCACAAAAAATGCTGCTATAAATATTTTGGTGTATATGACGACTTTATTTTTAATGGTTAGCCAGGTGATTTTTAACTTAAAATTTGCATTTTAGTTCTTTTATCACATTTTTTGTTTGTCTAAAATTAACTAAAATCAATAAAAATAATTTCAGTTTATTAAGAGTAGAAGATTAAAGCCAAAGCAAATATATATCTATATATCTATATCTATATATATCTATATCTATATATATATATAAAAGCTTTCGTTGTTTTGGAGCTATTATTAATTCCATTCAAGGAAACAAAAACAGAATGTAAATGACCTTTCATAATGATATATTTGAAATTTTGTAAATATGCAGCCTTTATTTAAATTGAAAGTAAAACACATTTTGAAAATTAGTAAGCAAATTTTAATATATATTATTTATAATACATATATAAATAATATATTAAAATATTCAATTTCTTTTATAATATTATACAGGTTTCCTTTTTATTCCTTCATAAACCAATCTGATGACTATCCAAGTCTTAGGGTCATAGAATGTACATTTTTCACAGGCGTAATTTGTGTTAAAAAATAAAGTATAATTGACCTCATTTGATTTTGGTACAAACTAATGATGTGCTGCTTAGCTCTTATTTTCCATTATTACATTGAGTCACTCATTTTAATCTACTGTGCTTTTTGAATATCATGTTATAGTTATATTTGGAAGGGAGCTAAACACCTTGTTTAATTCCTTCATTGTATACTTGATAGCTAGTGTTATATTTTGATTCTTCTTGCATGTAGAATTTTTTGTGCTTCTCACTAATGGGAGCATAAATATATTCAAAACATGCTATATAAAACATTGGAGTGTTCAGGGCTGCCAGCCTTTCAGGAAAGGCTGAGTGGTAGTATAATTCTCCTACACTGAAGAAGTTTGAATTTTATTACTCAGCATATTAAGACATGTAACTTGTGGTAGAGTTCAGGAAATGTTATATGTTTTTCCCCCACAAAAGATCCATTCTTTAGCTTCATCATGGCATGGAAGTGGCCCTGGGTTCTTGAAGGCTATGTAAATGGAGCTTAAGATCTGATAGGTTTATTTCTAGTAGGGTGAATTCTTTGGCCTTGGCAACACATGAAAAAGAAAAGAAAGGATTAAAAGTGGTCCTTGGTCATATGTAGCCTTTTCTGTTTTTCCATTGTTAACAACAGTGGTCGAAGCATGCTGAGCACATTGCTCTGAGGCTCTACTGTAAATTCGAGATCTTGGTCCCGCAATCAATGAGGCTGGATCAGTACCTTGTCAAAGAAACCAGAAGAGAAAAGGATGATGTAAATGAAAAAAGGATGGCTCTCACAGATGTTTGTTAAGGAGGCAAACAAAGCAAGTGGAGTTGGTTTCGTTGTGTACATAAATGCAACAGAACATCGTTTAATGGGGTACTCTACCACTTTGTCTTGCAGTAATCATGATGATCAAAAACAAAAAAAGAAGAGAGCTTGAAGATTCTGATGCCAATATCTAATGCAGAAGAGGAGATACATTATGAAAATATATTAAAAAAAATTAAACTGACCATATCTTAAAAGACATGAATGACTAGGAGATGCTAAGAAATGACTAAGAATCCCTTGTTGGTAGCCAGTCATTTGTGCAGTTAGACCATTGATTTCTAAGTGTGTCAGTTAAAATCAACAGAAAATTAGAAGAAAGTTTTATGATGTAAGAAAGATTTTCATCTTTTTTTTTTAAGGTTTTCATCTTTAAAGAAAGTTTTAATAAGAGAAAAAGATACACTGCATGCAACTATTATAGATATATTGGTACCGAAAAATGCAAATTAATAAAGAAGAGATCTTGATATAGACTAACATGGTTTGTCTGTGGAAGTTTAACTGATAAAGTGGTTTCCACAGTGAAGAAACCTAAAGAAATCCAAATTAGTTTTAGCTAGGAGACACTAGATTTCCTTGTCATAAGGAGAGACTTGATAACTGAGTTTAACACCAGTTCAGAATTTCATTTGCAAAACTTGCCTGATAAAACAATAAATAGCAGTGACTTGCTTGAGCTCTCCCCCAGACCCCTCCAAATACCTATAAAAATGGCTCTCAACAAATTCTAAAGCATCAGAACCCACAAAAAGACAGAGTGAAACAAATTTCCAGCCCAAGACAACCTGGATGGTTGATTGGGGAGAGGAGCGCGGTGTGGCGTGGGCTTGAAGGCCGCAGCGACCCTGGAGCAGGCCTCAGAGGACTGAATCACAGGCAGCTGTGGAGGTTTCCAGAACTCAACCCACGAACGCCAAAGACAACTCGGAAGGTCAGTGGGAAAAGTCTGTGACTGCCGTGAGAGAGAGAAAAGCTAGGTCTCAGCTGCAAGTCCTGAGTGCGGCCAGGGGCAGTGGCTGCCTCCTGAGCTTCCAGCCCACAGACTGAGGGGGAATCGAGTGGCTGATCAGAGGGGGATTGCAGGGATCTCTTTGTCAGTGCTGAGGCAGGAATCTCTTGCTTTGCTTGTACTTGGATCTGGGTCACAGTTCTGAGGGGCGGTCCTGGGGCAAGGAGGAGCGCTGGTGTGGTGGAGCTTGTTGTGGCGGTAGAGAAGAAACACCTCGCTCCTTATTATACCACCTTGGAAGAACTGAAAATTTACAGGTCCCTAGAAGTATCTCTGAAAATAGCTGTATAAACCCCCAAAGCTTGGGACAGTACATTCTCCACATTGGAAGCAGCCTCTTATCCTAACAGAGTTTAAAACTCAAGTAATTGGCTGGGATCATGAGCAAACCTCACAAAAAGAGTCAGACTACATTATCTTACTTTGTTGACAAAGAAGATCAAAACATACAACCAGTAGAAGACAACAAAGTCAAAGTTCCTACATCCAAAGCCTCCAAGAAAAATATGAATTGGTCCCAGGCCATGGAAGAGCTCAAAAAGGATTTTGAGAAGCAAGAGAAGCAGAGGAAAAACTGAGAGTGATGCAAGAAAATCATGAAAAACAAGTCAACAGCTTGCTAAAGGAGACCCAAAAAAATACTGAAGAAAATAACATCTTAAAAGATAGCCTAGCCCAAATGGCAAAAGAGATCCAAAAAGCCAATGAGGAGAAGAATGCCCTGAAAAGCAAAATTGGCCAAATGGAAAAGGAAGTCCAAAAGCTTACTGAAGAAAATACTTCCCTAAAAATTAGAATAGAGCAATTGGAAGCTAGTGACTTTATGAGAAATCAAGACACTGTAAAACAAGTCCAAAAGAATAAAAAATTAGAAAACAATGTGAAATATCTTATTGGAAAAACAACTGACCTGGAAAATAGATCCAGGAGAGAGAATCTAAAAATTATTGGACTATCTGAAAGCCATGATCAAAAAAAAAGAGTCTAGACATCATCTTTCAAGAAATGACCAAGGAAAACTGCCCTGATATTTTAGAACCAGAGGGCAAAATAGAAATTGAAAGAATACACCGATCACCTCCTGAAAGAGTTATAACCAAATTCCAGAATTCCCAGGTCAAGGAGAAGATAATGCAAGCAGCCAGAAGGAAACAATTCAAATATTGTGGAAACACAATCAGGATAATGCAAGATTTTGCAGCTTCTACATTAAGGGACTGCAGGGCATGGAATATAATATTCCAGAGGGCAAAGGAGATAGGATTACAACCAAGAATCACCTACCCAGCAAAACTGAGTATAATCCTTCAGGGGAAAAAATGGTAATTCAGTGAAATAGAGGACTTTCAAGCATTCTTGATGAAAAGACCAGAGCTGAATAGAAAATTTGACTTTCCAATACAAGACTCAAGTGAAACCTGAAGAGCTAGTTTGCCCCTGCTGCTGCTTCTGCTGTTGTTCCTGCTAGTTACTCCAGTAGTCAAGACCTTGATGCTCAGGTGCTCAGGAAGGCAAAGAAGATGCCAGCTCTTTTGTACCAAAGCAGACACAAACAGGAGGCAGACTCATGCTGGACATGAATGACAAACCTCTAATTCTGAAGAGCTGGTATGTGCGTGGGGGTGGTGGTCTTCATTGTGCTTTGAAGACAGGTTTCTATCTTAGTGAAATAAAAGAGTAATAATGGCTGATTAAAAAAAAATTTAGTCACTTGAAAGCTTGGTATGAGACCAAACTAAGCCAAATAATTCCAAAGGCATTCATTGAGTTCAGGAGGACAGCAAGTGGACCAAAAAAAAAAATGTAAAAGATCTGTCAGTTACAGTTTGCATGATTTCTCATGTATAATTGATATCATACTGCTTCATTTCTCAGTGGATTGGGGAGGGGTAGACAGGAGGGAGGGAGAGAATTTAGGCTCAGAATTTTTTTAAAAAGTCTTTTAAAATAAATAATAAACCTTGAAAATAAGATAAAGAACAGATATGTCAGTATTTCTAGAAATTATTTCCATAATCTGTTTTGGAGGCAGTAGAGTTTTGAAAGTACTGAATTTATTTTCAAGATATCTGTAAGAATGGACAATATGGAAGAGTTAAAAATTAGGGACAGTATTATTAAAAAAAGATGATTGAAAGGACATTAGTAACTATTGACATTCTTACTTTCTCATTTTTATAAAATCTTTATGAATGATCAACATTTGTGTTGAAGGTATATTTGATTAAAATGTGAGAATGCAGTGGCTGGTTTTTGCGGTGATTTTCTTTTTCTTTTTTTTTTATTAATTTATTTTGATTTATCAACAATCACTTCCATAAGTTTTTGAGTTTTAAATTTTTCTCCCTCTCCTTCCCTAGGACGGCATGCAATCTGATATAGGCTATACATATACATTCTTATTAAACATATTTTCCCATTAGTGAGGTTGTAAGGAAGAATTAGAACCAATAGGAGGAACCACCAGAAAGAGGAAACAAAACAAAACAGAAGGAAAAAAATAGCAAATAGTATGCTTCGATCTGTGTTTAAATTCCATAGTTCTTTCTTTGGTTGTGGATAGCATTTTCCATCATGAGACCTTTGGAGATGTCTTAGATCTGTGGATTGCTGAGAAGGGTTAAGTCTATCAACGCTAGTTATAGCACAAACGTGTCTATTATGGTGTACAACGTTCTCCTAGTTCTTTTGCAGTAATTTTCAATAACAAGTTATGTCTTCAGAATTACAAGATTGAAAATTGTATAAAATAGAACCCATTGTATAGGTTGTTTGATTGCAAAAATATTTGACTCAGTAGAACAAAATACCATCCTAAAGGTTCTCCTACATATCTCCCATATATATGTTTGTTTGATTTACAAATTTTGTTTTATGTATATAAACCAAAACCACAAATCACCATTTGTTGTTTGTTGTTTTTCAGTCATTTCAGTTGTGTCGACTCTTTGTGACCCCATTTAGAGTTTTCTTAGCAAAGATACTAGAGTGGTTTGCCATTTCCTTCTCCGGCTCATTTTATAGATGAGGAACTCAGGCACACAGGGTTAAGTGACTTGCTCAGAGTAATTGTCTGAAGTCAAATTTGAACTCAAGAAGAGGAGTCTTCCTGACTCCAGGCTTGGCACTCTATCCACTGTGTCATGTAGCTGCCCAAAAATCACCATTATATTTCCCCCAAATAGTTAAGCAAAATAGTATAGGGCTGTGGCTGATAATTCCTGTAACTGTACACTTTAACTTAAATGGAATGAAAACTGTGTGCTTTAAGTTTTTTTTTTTTTTTTAAACAGGATTCTGTTAGTATAGTCCACTGTATTTAATTTGCTGCTGTTAAATGTCATCATTCACTAGATGTGGTTGGTATATGCATTATTCTCTTGGTTGTATTTTCTTTACTCTGCATTTACTTGATATGTCTCTCTCTTCCACATGGTATTCTATTGTATTCATGTACCACAGTTTATTCAGCCATTGCCCCACTTGTTGGATACAGTTTGTTTCCAACTTTTTGCTGATA